ATACTTGGTGTAATAAGGGAACTATTTTTACAGATATGGATCTAGTAGTCTTTTTCAATGTCGTTTCTTGAAATCTTCAAGCAGGAAACTTACCACTTTGGAATGGAGAACTGTGCAATATTTTAATTTTATTCATCGTTTGATATCGCTGAAGATGGCTCGATCTATAAGCTGAAACGTTCGATTGTATTGCATTTGAAATGAGTTTGAAATAAATCAGTGATTCTGATCATCTACGCACAGACAACTGCGTTTGACTCTCATAGCCATCCTATTACAAATTTCCAATTTTGAGAGTCCTAAATTATTATTTTACTTAACTTTCACTTTTATTACGTAAGAAGAAGCTTTTGCTAGCGCACTGTAATATATTTAAAGTTACAAAGAAAGTATCTCCGGGGAAGCACGATTTCTTATATAGCGCACAATATATAACATGTTATGAAGTAATATTCGCGGGTAACATGCCTAACGAGATTTCGACGTACAATAATGTGAAAGGTTCATAATATAAAGTTTTCTTGGTATCTATAACAATCAATTGCAAAAGAAAAGTTGCCACGGTAACGCACATCCTGGAGTATACACAAATCTTTGTTACTACGTGTAGTCAGATCAATAACCCTGTCTTTTCATGTGATCCAATCCCAGATTCTTTAGAGAAAAGAGAAAACGCGAACAACATTGATGCTGTCAACAATATAAAGTGACAAATAATAATACGTACATTTAAAAAATAGTGATACACTCTGGAACGAGTTTAATTTAAATGCTTTACTTCTCTTATTATCCTAACATAATTGGATTTTGCATTAAATATAATAATTTTGACATTAATAATATAAAAATTAATGTTAATAATAAATCTAATATTTATTTCTTATTAAATTTTAACTAAAAAGAGATTTTTCATTTTTTTTATAAACTAATTCTATAATTATTTTCTCATTAAAATCTTAATTAGAAAAAAATTAACTACAAGTTCATTAAACAATATCCTCACTTCTAATTCCTATATTTCAATAATCTATATATCGGATATTTTCTGTGTAATCAAACTTATTTTTACAATAAAGCATGCATGGGACTTAATCTCTGGTCGACGCACATTTTTCGCACATACCTATAAGAAATAAAAGCGTTATATCCCTAACGACCGGAATAATAAATATTCGTAAAACGACAAAGGTCAATTGCGCGGCAATATGGTCGGTGAGACGAGTCTTGTTTCGGTACATTTACGGCTTCCCTACAGCGTGACTTGAAAATAACGTCTATAAAAGAAGTCTATGAGGCGAACATCACTGTAATGACCACAACTGACGCACATTAAACGAGATGAATACAAGTTTAGTGTAGCGCTACACCTTTACGCAAACTTTTTAGGACATTATAGGTTTTTTTGAAAACAATATTGTATTGATAGAATCAATCATAAGTATTGTTTATTGTATTGAGATATAATCATGATTGTGTAATATAATTAATCATGAATATTGTCTACACATATTTTTTTTTAAGTTTAAATTATACGCAATACACATAATACCTTTTACGTTTTCAAATCAATCAGTAAATTAAGATTTAACATATCATGGATAAAAGAATTTAATTAGATTTTATTAATATCCTTTTTAATCTAGTTTATTAATAATCGAATATATAAGACTAACAATAAGTAAAGATTAGAGAAATTAAAACTGTATCCAGTTAAATATAATACATCTTCTATCAATCTATTTTATACTTGTAAATACAAATATATCAAACTATAGTAAAATTTATATATATATATTATGTTTAAAACCTGTAAAATATCTTTTAATGTATATATTGTTATAAATATATAGATAATGTGTGTACATACCTGTGTTGGTAAAACTATAAGAGCCACGCAGATCATAATGACCATGTAAAGTTGCGAAGGCCAAATGTCCGGCACGAAATCTCCGTAACCCACAGTGGAGAACGTTACCACAACATAGTATGTACTTTGAAATAGATTCAAATGCCTGTGCCCCGCTCTCTGAAAGTGTTGGATCCCGCATACGCTAAAATGGAAAATTCATCGGATCGCCTTACGATTAATCGTTGATTGCCACGAAAATGGATAGTCGGGACAGTTCTAGTCATATTTTACATGCGTCCGACGTAAATCTACGTCGTTTATAACTGTATACTACTAACGTAATTTACGCTTTCTATAGTCGCGCCGCATTGCAAACGATGTCTCCTGCATTTAAATTACAAGCCATTGAGAATCAGGAGTTTACAGTCATTCACTTGAGAGAGTACACACAAACCATAATTTGAACCATTAACGTTTCAAGATAATTCTTTTTGTCATTGTTTACATATAATTGCGGAATAATAAATTTTAAGAGACTGAGTATTATATTGTTTGGATATAAAGACATATATTTATAGATTTTTATAATTTTTTTGATGTAATAGATCTCTTTCAATTTTCTAATATATATACATATATACATATATATATATATATGTATATATGTATATACAAAAAAAACATAAGAGACCTTTTTTGTAGATCGTTAAATTTTCTACAAAAATATGTATTGATTATTTCATAATTTTTGAAAGTTGATATGATACAACATTCATAAGAAGCAAAAACAATTTTTATAAAATTTATCAAACTTTAACTTTGAATATCTTTTGAACGGTTGAATTTATGAAAAAATGATAAGAGATCTTTTTTGTAGAGCGGTAAATTTACTACGGAAAATCTATGTGGCGCAATGCTGTATTACTGTTTGTTAGATAGTTATAAAATTTTTTCTATTTTACTAAATGAAAAATAAAAAATCGCGATGAGCGACCTGTTAATATTAATATTAAGGGCTAAAATTTTAACAGGTATCTTATTTTACCTTCCTGCAAGTATATATGCTATTCGTGAAATGAAAAAAAAAGTTGCTCCAAACTAGCTTGAGCTGTTCGGCGTTGCTCGTCGAGAAATTCGTACAAACATATTTTACTCCTTTTCACCTTGTTAGGTTCGAATTTCCAGAAATTCCTTCTTAGTGAGTGCTTACGTCATAAAAGGAATATACTCCCAGAGTTTCATGTTTCTAGGTTTAGAGGTTTGGGCTGGGCATTGATGAGTCAGTCAGAGAACATTTGATTATATATATAGGTATATAGATATAATATAGATTATTACACATATGTTTTACTGTTATCAAACACATATTGTGTTATAATTATATTATATAAAATCCTCATCATTTTCTATTACATAGTTTGCAGAAAAACATACACGAATGCATTAATTATTTAATTAAAAAGAAATCGCCATATATTGACTTAAAAAATAATTCTTTTTTAATAAGTAAAACAGGACTGATACTATGAATCTTATATTAACCCTCAGGATACGCACTGGGTTAGCGTAACCCGAGCGAATTTTGAAAGTAGCGCCATTTTAAAGGAAGTGAATGGTAGGGGTCCGTACCGGGGCGGGGGGGAAAAATCTTTGAGGTATGTGAGCGCCAAGGGGCAGCGTCAGTCTACGCTTGGTGATCAAGTTATACGATTTTGAAAATTGAACTCGGGTAGTCTACGGTTACCTTCAGGGAGCACGCTATTAGCGCTATTGCATCATTCTATCTTTATCGCTCATCAGGTATAAAACAAGGATAGAATAAGCAAAAGCAAATAGCGCTAATAGCGCGCTCCCCGAACGCAGCCTACACCCAGTCCGTACGGAACGTTACAAAATCCGTGTTTAAAAAAAAAATTTGTGTTTTTCGAGTATTTGCTGCAGTAAAGTGTTTTTTTTTGTATTCTGGTATGTATAATTTACTATTTTTAATATACTTTTGTGCATTCTAACCTCAAAATGATGCTCTGTAGTAGCATACCAGCATAACGTATCCGTGCATGCATGTTAATATTATTTCAATTTTTGTTATTTATTTATATCCCTAGACAGACTCACTTATTTTTCTCATACGTGAATGACTCACTGGGGTCTTAATAACCCCAAAATTGTACCGCGTGTATAATATTTCCAGAATGTTCTTAGAAAACTTTATAATAGATAATTTTGTTTGTTGTTTAATAGGGAAAACGATAGTAGTCATCAATTTGCGATAGTAACAAAAAACCAGTAAAAAAATTTCGAAAAACAAGAAAAAGAACCAAAAATTGGGCTGAAATGACTATTTTTATAAAAAATGCTGTAGTTTTTCATAAAATTCACCGATTTTAAAATTTCCAACGGATTTTGAAAAACGAATATAGCCCAGTAAAATGACAAAATTTGGAGGAAATAATACTGACTGGGCTGAAACTTTGTAAACAGGCTTGTTTTAGGGTACTATTTAACATATTAAAAGTCCCCACGTGTAGACGCTACGTTGCGGGCAGGGGAGGGTCCAAAAGGTCCAAAAAATTAGTTTTTCGCAAATAACTCGGAAAATATCAACTTTACGGATATTTATGTAGATATCAAAATTGTAGCTTACAAAATTCCGCACAATTTCGTTTTTTATTCAAGTCTGTACGACCAAATGGAGCAGAGATAGAATTTTTTTAAACATCGGTAGTTTTGCAATGCAACAAAAACGCGTACGCGCGTCGCGCATTTTTCGCTAATATCTCAAAAATGGACTCTTGAATCGAAAAATGTTTTAAATAAAAGTAGTAGAGAATCTAATTACGAACAATTTCGTTTTTTATTCATTTTTGTACGGTCCAAATTCGCCGAGTTATTAATTAAAAGACAATTTTATTTTATGTTGATAGTGGATGTTTTGCATGTAAAAATCAGTATTAACTCTAAAAGTATAGGTCGTACACATATAGTATGTATAATGAAAGTTAAAGAGAATAAAATTTTGAACATGTTGATGTATGCATGAATTCATTTTGGTAAAGATAGCTTAAAGTTAAGAGCAAAAAACATGAAAAAATGTCATTTTTTAGTGCATTTTGTAAAATAACTTTTTCTAATTGGTTGGAGGCAGTAATGTTATGTATTTTTCTTGAAGATATTTTAATTATCTTTAAAATGAGACGTCGTAGACCTTTTTTCATTGAAACGTTGATGAATTACAGGCGTTTAAATATTGAAGAAAAAAAATCAATTTTTGTTAAATTAACATTTTAGTCCAAAAATATATGGATAATAATTTTTCAAAAATTTATTTTACCTTGTTTTCATTACTTCATATATATATGAACGTGCTGGAGTAGTATAAGTCCTTCGCAAAGTATGTTTTATTTAAAAAAAATGTTCATGAATATTGCTGTATTTTTGATAAATTGTGGAAAAATTGCATTATTATTCCTTTTTTTGTAAATATCTCCGTTTCTATTAACTTTACAAAAAAACTTCAAGAGACCGAAATTAAAGCTGACAAAATTTCCTATAAAATAGAGTTTATGACATGTAATTTTGAATGCATTGTGATGGGAAACTGGCGTTTCAAAAGACAGGTAAGTTTACGTATGTAGCAGATCATCACTATGAGTCGCCTGAAATGATGAAAAAACGTGTCCTTAACATTTTTCTGTACCTATTGAAGTGTCAGAAGTTATTCCTGGGGTCTTTCTGAATCGTTTGGTACTAGGCCGATATTTTTAGGACCGATAGTACTGTACATAGGTATTAAAGATTGAGAAGAGTCCGAAGTCGGTATGCGGCGCGCAGTGTGGCAAACACGTTACGACTCGTTTTATTTAAAAAATCATAACTCACGAACAAATTGACGAAGCTTAATGATCAAACACGCAAATTAAAGCTAAAAGTAGTGCGAATGAGAAAAAAATATGAGATAATTATTAATTAAATAAGAATACTTAATTTCGTCGCCGCAAATTTGGTAATTTTTAAATGGTACAGAAGGACTTTAAGGACTTAAAGAATGCTAGAAAAAGAATTTCTGAATAAGAAAAAACGAATTTAAAGTGTGACAGATATTTTTTATGTAAAAAAATTAATTTATTATTTATTATTATTATTATTATTAATATTATTATTATTATTTATTATTTATTATTATTATTATTTATTTATTATTTACTATTTATTTTTAATTTTGTTTATTAATTTATTAATTTTTTAATTTTATTTTTTTTTCTTAAATTAATAGCATGTTAATGCAAATCAAATTGCACCAGGTCATGTGGCTGCAAAAAGGCAGGGTTAAGATGTTCTGACCTCTGTGCTAATTGCAAACAGAACAGCTCCCTAAATATGTTCGTATCTGACGAAATGAGTGATTCCGAATCGGATGAAGACTATTCAAATAGTGCAAATGAAGAAGAAGAAGAAGAAGACTAACAACTAATTTCCATCGTATCTCTTCTATGGCGGTTATAAATTATTTAAATATTCATATTTCCTCGATTTTTCACTGTACAGAAACGAATAAAACACGAAATTGTTCGTAATTAGATTCTCTACAACTTTTATTTAAAACATTTTTCGATTCGAAAGTCCATTTTCGAGATATTGGCAAAAAATGCGCGAAGCACGTACGCGTTTTCGTTGCGTCGTAAAACTACTGGTGTTTAAAAAAATTCTATCTCTGCTTTATTTGGTCGTACAGACTTGAATAAAAAACGAAATTGTGCGGAATTTTGTAAGCTACAATTTTGATATCTACATAAATATCCGTAAAGTTGATATTTTCCGAGTTATTTGCGAAAAACTAATTTTTTGGACTTTTTGGACCCTCTCCTGCCCGCAACGTAGCGTCTACACGTGGGGACTTTTAATATGTTGAATAGTATCCTAAAACAAGCCTGTTTACAAAGTTTCAGCCCAGTCAGTATTATTTCCTCCAAATCGACAAATTTCGAGTCATTTTACTGGGCTAATAGACAACCTTCAAGGGCATGTAAGCGATTTTTTCGTTTCTTAAAAAAAACATATTTCTTTGAACATCTGAAGTAGAAGAAATGACGAAAAACTGCCGGATGGGAAAAATCGCAAGAAATGGAAAGTAAAACAGATTCTGTCGATTATTATTTATTTGAAAGGTAGTCAAAAGTTATAAAAGTATATGGAAATAGTAAA